GGACGGACACGCCAAGCGTCCTCGAGCCCGCTCCTCGGAGCGTCCCGCCTCTGGGTGCTGGCCTGTCCCCCGGGCCCCGCGCCGCGGGAGGAATTCGCGCAGCATCCATTAGTCATCCATCCATCTAGTCCATGGACTAGATGATCTCCAGAGGTCCCTTCCAACCTAAACGATTCTGTGATTCTGCGATCCAAGGCACGGACCTCTCGACACGCACCTTTCTCAGCCTCCGAAACTTCAGTCAAAGGAAACTTTTGTAAGGCAAAGCTCAGCCCAGACAGTTCCTGAAGAAACCCCAGACATGCGACGGCTTCAAACGCCGCTCCAAAGCCACAAACACAAGAAGGGCCCGCCAAAGCGCCAGCTGCTGCTGCTGGAAAACCCGCTGGGCAGCCCTGGCGCTCGGGCGCCGCGCTGCCGCTCGCAGGGGAGGAGGAGGAGGAGGAGGGAGCAGGAGCTGCGGGCTCAGGCACCGCTTGTGAAAAAGAAACAAAGCACAAAAGGAGACCAACTTTATTTCAGCTCCTTAATAAAAAGCTGCTGGAGGCTGCGCGTGCAGCACGCACGACGTTCTCCGCTAGTAGGTTCGGGGAGCAGAGAGACCTACAAACTCTGCGAGCTCAAAGGAGACGGCATCTAGGAGTGAAAGCCAGCCCAGCAGCAGCTTAACCTTCGCTTCCTGACAGAGCCAGAGGCAACTGCAGAGGATCCAAAGCAACTGCTGCTAAAACATGCCAGGGAGCCAGATGCCGCAGCTAAAGCCCCAGCATCGGTGCCCAGGGTTTGCATCTCCTTCCAAAAGGGAGGTGACAGCACACAGTGCTCCAGCAGCCGCAGCTCCACGACAGTCCCCGAAACGCTGCTTTCATATAAATATCTAACCGAACGGATAGTTGTTCTGCCTGATCCCCGTGCAGAGGAGGATCGAGAGGGGTCTGCGAAAACAAGGATCTCTGACACTCCGGTCACCCAGGGTACGACTTTATTATGTGTTTCTGAACAAAACCGTAAACGTCAGGAGAGTCAACATATGAACCGTGCTTAAATGACACAGCAAGGGAGGGGATGGCTCTCATGGCCTTTAGGTGGGGCACCCAAGGCTGGGGCATGAGGCTTGCTTCAGAGGATGGCATTGACAGCATCTGCGAGAACAAGCTCTTGGAAGAGGTACTGACCTGGATAAAGATCTTTCTCAATAAGCTTCATCTGGAGATGGAAGATCTGCTCCTGAAGTTTACAAATGGTGTGCTTCATTTTCTCCCGTCTTGTCACCATGTAACAGAGATTTCTAACCTACAGAGACACAAGAAAGAGTTTCCATTTTAAGCCAGGCTCCAAAGCAGGTTCCTCGAGGGGACCTGGGCAATCCCACAGTCCTGGTGCACCAAAAACTCCTCCTGGGCACTACAGGAGAGGGCTCTTGATCTGAACTGCATTAACATATACGAAAAAAAACCATGCAGTGAACGGTTCAAAGCCTAAACGGCTCTATCTTGGCTTCGAAAACCAGGACCCTACAGGAGGCGAGAGGACCAGCTGGCTTTCGGAGCACATGCACAGTGCATACAAAAGCCATAAGGACACACGGTACCTCCAGAGATATAGGCTTGCTCGATGGCAAACGCACACCCCGACCACCAGCTTGGCCACCAGTCTCTCTGCAAAGCCCTGCCAACACGAGCCAGGGCCCTCCTCCGCGCCCCGTGAACCGCTGCCACCGCGACACGACACGCGATCCCTCCCTCCAGCCACCGAGGACGCGAGCAGGCAAGCACGAGACTTGCGGGGCAGCGACGAGGTGGTCCAAGATGGTCAGCGCAACCCCTGCTTTAGCTTGGGACATTCCAGTTTGGGCACTTTTAGTGCACAACTTCTTGGGCTGTGCAGGGTTTCGGGTGAGTTCTCGCCCTCTATCCCATCTCCTTCTGAACAGAAACCATAAGCCAGTTAATATTTAGCTTTTACCATCAAAGGCCAATAGCCTGAATTCACTAGAGGGGTCTGCGCTGCAGCATCGCTGCCTCCCAGGGCTTAAATTCAGCCCCAACAGCACAGCATACAAGGTGTCAAACAGGGTCAAGTGCTCTAGTAATCGGTATGATTAGTCAGTATTAACCTTCAGTATTTATTGCAGTGTAGCCTTTAATTGTTGATAAGCCTTAGTGACCAATATCCACAAAACGGGAACAGAGCCAGGAGAAACAGGTAAATTATTTTACGATCTTACCCAGGAACGGCAATGCTGATGACACACCGGCTTTTTTAACCTCCTGGTAGCTGTTCACGGACCTAATGAAGGAGTTAACGTCCCTAAAGGAGCTTGAAAAGCTCAGCAGAAAGGATGCCGCAGCATTCGAGTTACAATACGCAGATACGCACAGGCCTGGCAGATGCAGAGAGATCCAGAGACCCAACGAGAGGACGTTGAGTCGGGACGAGAGGACTTGAGCTCGGGGGTCGCTCCGCGCCCGAGTCACCCGCGTTCCCCGCTCACGCTCGCTCTACAACACCCGACGCTGGGTGGTGCGCTGGCCCCTGGGGTCCACGCTTCAGTCCTCGCTCACAAATCGCTTCCTCCGCATTTCGCACCGACCTGGGCGGCGCGGGACAGGCACCCTCCTCCAGCAACGGGCGCGTGAAGCAGGCACGGCTGGGAACGAGGGCCAGGACGGGGTTACGAGCTACGGGAAGTCAGGGCCTTGCGAAACCGGCTGTTTCGCTAGGCAGAGCGCATGAAATGCCTCCCTCCTCGCGGGGCGGCGGTGGGAGAGAGCGCGCAACCCCGCCGCCACGGCGGCAGCGCGTGCCAATATTTTTGGAGGACATCTATGGTTGCAGCTGTGAGACAGAAGACGCTAATGGCACCTAACGGGATTTGACGGCGCGTGTTTCCTCAGCTGCCTCATGTGCCGAAAGAGCAAAACTGCACGCGGTAGAGTAAGGAGGAAAACTTGGTCTGCAGGAGCTCGTACGGGTACGTTCAGCAGCTCGTATGGGCCCGTCGGCGCTCGCATGTGCTGCTGGTGCCTCCTCTTACTCTTTTTTCCACCCTCTTTCTCAAAATCTGTTCTGCTGATGAAGACCACATAGGGAGGCGTTTCCAGGCCTCAGAGCCACAGAACGGAGAAGGCTTCTCCTAACTACCGGTAACATTCACCAACCCCGGCTGAGCGCTCTCCTGGGCTGCCCCACGCTGGGTCCTCCTTCATCTCCTCCCACAGACACCTCCACAGCCTGCCCCACGCTGGGTCCTCCTTCATCTCCTCCCACAGACACCTCCGCAGCCCAAGCGCTCGCCTGCCAGCAGGTTCTCCTGGGCTGCAGCCTCTGTTTTGCCTTTTAAAGCCCAATTGAGTTCTTTTAAGTTATGTGGAGCACCTAGAAGACTTTGCTGCCACGTTCACACACTTTCAGAATTGCTTCCTGTTTTCAGTGGCCTTCTGAGATCCCCTCTCGGCCTGTTCATCAGCTCTGTGACGCCTCCCCCAACGCACGCGGCAGACCCTGCCGTCATGAGCTGTAAACTCCACGCTCACCCAAACATCCAGGGACCTCGGCGTCACCTAAGAACAATTTGGAAACACTTCTGCATATAGGAGAGAAAAGCTGCTCCTCCCCCCCATAATTCCCTGGCTATAAATACGGACAAGCGAGTCATACGCTGTATATTTTACGAC